AGGAATCACTAATACTCTATCAAATTTTGGACTTCACGGACGATTGCAAGTATTAGGAAAGCAGAGGGCCATGGCGATAGGGCGCGTTCCGATTTCCTCTGCCGCGTCTGTCTCATCTGGCGATGTCCACTCTGTGTATAAAAATCATGGTTCGCGTCAGACTCGTCTGGAGACCGACTTTTCCGCATCCGCAAAACCGCCACAATCTCCAAAGGATCAAGGTACAGCTACAGCTTCTGAATTGGTGGGAAGTGAATAGATCGAACCTACCGCAAAGGGGTCGAAGACGGATATCCCTATCAACTTCATCCTTGATTCCCTCGTGCCTGCTACAAATTCCCAGTCAACTGGGGATTGGAGCGTAGCTGGAAAACATCCTTCCGTTTCCAAAGACAGCCTGAACCTGGCACTCCTGTTTCGCAATCATGGTCCTAGATCATCCCACTATGCCTGCCTGCTTCTACCGTATTCACGCTGTTGAGGAATGGAATCTACCTGCTAAAATATGCTAACACTGAGTGCTAATGAACTTGGCTTGCGAGATAGATTAAGGGCACGGCATGGATCCATTTAACGCTTGCATTCATATATATTCTCCTGTCATTACGCCATGGCAGCTTGAATTTCGATGCCAGTTTATTTAATTTTCCCATGAGTAATTTCCCCTTATCACGCCTTCACATTGCACGTGGAAATAACGAAACCCAAATTCATTCACCTTTACATAAGTCAAAGGATTACAAGTAAACCGAGGACACTAACCCGAGTTGACGACAGACGACATGACCATCATTTATGCTCCAGGAATCATCACAAACTGTCCCCCAGAAGCCGTTATGTCGAACTTCAACGCGGCCTTCCATCTCACTTGGTCCACCCACAAGGCGAACGCTGCTGTTATCTGAGAAAAGGTAGACGAGTAGGGGAAATAGATAGGCTTGCATAATTCACCCTGAATTCTCTTTTCCTTGGCTGCAAAATCACAGTAAGCCAATTAGCAACTAAGGTAGACTCACATATAATTGAAATAGAGAACAACAATTAATGGGAAAGGACCAAGGAACTACAGGTTACGCTAAAATGTCCACTAACATCACCAGTCACTAAGTAATCAGCTCATGCGATTGCACGATACTGACATTGAACGTCAGTACCGTCGGCCAGTGTCGTGGAACGTTATCACATGAGCTATATGTTTAGTAACAAGTGATGGTGGAGGACATTTTTTATTATAATTTGTTATACCCAGATCATATTAACCCCCACTAATTCCTGCGATCTATAACTGGTGAATATATATCTCCATATTCACCACTTTAACTTGGGGTATATACTTTGCTATATTACCCACTTAGAGGTTGTAACTTTTCAACTTTCAAGGGACTTGGAAATTTTCTCTCCAATTGAAAAAGAAAAAAATTGAAGAGAAGAAGGAAGTCTCAGCAGGAATCGAACCTGCAACCATAAGATTCCCAAGCACCTATCTTGACCACCCAGCCACCAGGGTGTTGATGCAGATGTTGGTTGAAAGATAGGTCTTAGGTCTGGAACACGCAATGCTACCTACACACAGTAGTATACTACTAGAATAGTATACTGGGATACTAAAATAGCTATTTCGGACCAATATTTCAGGCCAAAAACGAAGCTAGGTATAAATAGAATAAACACCTCTGTCTTTTGTTCATGGTAATAAAAACACTGTCCTTAAAAACCTCGGCTACGCCTCGGCTTTTATAGCAGTGTTCATATTCCCATACACAACACGACATCGGTGTTTGTTCTATACATATAATAGGCTTTCCTAAAGACATAGTCGAAATTGAAAGGAGTTCCATTATAATGGGAGGCTGTAGGGTTGACACAGCAAACAGTGGATGGCTAATGAACAACCTAGCTAGAAAAATACATAATATCCGCTGCATGTTCCAGAATGGCATTACAGTCTAACTTTATAGTTCCTTTGTCCTTTTTTCTTTTCAACAAATTTATCCTTGGCTCTCCATCCAAATCCATTCTACCAAATAAAAGCTACAATTCTAAAGGTTCCGTGGTATTTCTTATTGCTACCCTCCTATAACCCCAGGACATTTCCACCACTAAAATCATGCAGTCTGAGGATTGGAGGATAGCCACGAAACTCAGGGTTTCCGCTCAGTTCCAGCATTTCCATTCCAAAAAGTGTGACGCTTCAATGCATTGCCATGTACATGTTCATGTGGATCTGTCAGAATGGTTCGTTACTACAGCTTACCGCATTCAACACCGGCATCTTCGGAATGTCCGCAATTGTGCATGCCCACTCGATTGCCTGGACATCCGAACAAGTCACTTTCTTCTCCAGTACACTTTAAATTGTCCAGCAATATCGGGCCTCGACCACCTGCGTAGACCCGGATAGCGCTGGTTGCCTTTGCATACCTTTTCAGATGAACGACGATTCCAAACAAAGCCAGTCTTGGAATTCACGCCGAAAGAGTTACAAGAGGTGCTACATTCATAGCATTCATAGCGATGCACTATGTCGCGGTCTAGAGAGACGGATAATGAAACCTTACTTACATGTACACAGGTGTATGATTGTGCTGACAGAGTGAATGATTGTAAGCGATCTAGAAGCGAATAACACTATGGAAGCGGCTTCAGTTTGACTCTCTTTTCCACACTTTTGCGGTGGGAGTAGCTTTGGTTCATCCTTTTCAGAGGAGCTTTCCTGGAGCGATCAGGTTCGCCCGTCGACCTTCGGCATCAACACTGGTGCTATACCGAAATATCTATTCGTGAACTTACATCACAACTATATCTATTCGCATAAAAATACTTCGGGTGTCAGTAAAACGGGACCAGCCGGTGCACAAGGAAAGCTTGGCCATGTAGCCAATGAAAAAAAAAGGATCTACCTAAGCATGTGTTCACCAAGGAATATTTAGGGTAGATTGGTGAATGATAATGTATTTTTGTGTTGAAGCCGATTCTATTAACTTACCCGAGTTGGCGGCAAACGACGTTTGCGTCTTGGATGTCCCATTCATCGTCGCATACAGTTCCCCACGTTCCGTTGCTCAAGCGAACCTCCACACGACCTATAAGGAGATTGAATCCACTGGCAAGACGAACATTCGGATCGGCTGGAACACCCAAAAAAGGAACGTTTGCAACCCCAATTTATAAATAACGTAGAAGTATGTACTTGAATTGATTGTATGTGAGCTTGCAGAATATTTGTAATAGACCACACACCAGTACTTAAAAGCAGGAAACACCAGAAGCAAACGGCTAGGTCATTGTTGTGACGATGCGTTCCATGCACATGGCAAAGCTAAGGCATCCTCAGACTTCTCTTCCCACTTTCATTGAGAATTATCTATCATTCTACCTTCTTTCTCCTTATGTTCCCACAGACCCTGCTCCCTGTAACACAATAACGCAATCGCTGCCTTGTCATCGAACAATTGTGCTCGTTTGGATTTGGGAATTCAAATAAAGTATACAAACAAACAAACAAGAAGCAGTAGTTGTCTTAAGTTCGCTTTAATAGTTAAGTAAGCCAATCAGCGAATAAGGTCGACTTGCGATCATATCTATGAAATAGGGACCGAAATATAGAATCTGTAATTCTAAAACTGCCGCGGAAATACTTATCGCTACCCTCCTAATACCACGGGACATTTCCGCCTAGTACCATCATGTAGCCTGAGCATTGACGGATAGCCATGAAGCGCAGGGTTTCAGCACAATTCAGCCTAGTTACATTGCTGCATTTTGTGACGTTTCAATGCAACGCCATATGCATGTACAAGTAGATAGGAATGGTTTTTTACTACAGCTTACCGCATTCGACACCAGCATCTTCCGAATGTACGCAATTGTGCATGCCCACTCGACTGCCTTGACATCGGAACAAGTCACTTTCTTCTCCAGTACATTCTAAATTGTCCAGCAATATAGGGCCCAGACCACCTCCGTAGCTCTGGATGGCGCCGATGGCCTTTGCATACCTATTTAGATGAACGCCAATACAACACAAAAACGGGTCTTGAAATTCACGCCGAAAGAGTAACAACAGATGGTGCATTCATAGAATTCATAGTGCTGCACTTCGTCGCGGAGGATACTGAAGTAGAGAGAAAACTTAGTTACATGTACACAGATGCATAATTGTGCTAGCGGAGTGATTGATTGTAAGCTATCTAGTAGCGTTTAGTACTCCCGAATCGGCCTCAATTTGTCTCTGTTTTTGGCCCAATGCAGAACATGTCAATGACAAGTTTGGAATCTAAGAAAGCTTTTCGATCCTTGGTAACTACTTCAAGTATACGCTTTTAGCTTCTTCGTTCTTACTGCATAATTGTCCACCTAGTAGTACGCATATTGTGGGCACATCGCAATGCACATTGTAGGTGTGGAGGACTTTTCCATAATGTATCACGCTGACCATAGCCGATGTATTGCAATACTCTTTTGATCGACACTTTATTGATATGAGTAGTTTTGAATCATCGTTTCCAGAGGGAGATTCCAGGAGCGATCAGGTGCATCCGCCTCAAAGACTACATGCTATGCTTCGGGATCAATTTGCGGAATCTGATTCATAAGATATGCTTCGGAAGAATGGCACACTGAGTTAAACAGAAGCCAGACCCATGTTGATGATCAACCTGATCGTCCAGATTTTGATTCTGATCTTGATTGTTCCACGATTCAAACCAATCCGTCGATATGCTATGTCACGCGGTAGACGGCGCAGTGCCAGTTTCCGGACGCACATGTTTGTTGCACATCTTCAGAGCTTTGCTGCTAGTGAAATTCGAGTCGCCCAGGGAAGGAAATGTTTGTTGTTTGGAGTGACAAGGGTTGTCAGTGCCCATTCCTTCTCAGCGGTGGAGGGGACCACGCGGCAGTGTATGGCGGGCTGGTATCTGTAGCAACGCCTGGTGTTGGAGCTTGAGGAGGCGCTTTCTGTCATCGCGCAGGAAATTGGCCATGTTGCATTGGGGTGAAGTGACAATATTCTACTTTGTTTATTTCCAGAAAAGGTAGAACACTTTATCCAAGACATGCTCTGGGTGTAGTGGAGATAGTTCACTGTCCTGTAGTGCATGGTTCAGGAAAATATGCGCCGTAAATGTTTCCACCTGTGGCCCTTGAAATTGAACTATTTAAGCGATGCAATTTCATGATGTTTGGAGATAATGGCCGTTGCTTTCCTGGATGTATCCTTGGTTCTATATGGTGGCTGATGTGAAGACTACTCATGTGAGGTAATGTCGACGTAGTAGTGCTTTGTTCTTAGATCCATTGTGTCCGCTGTACCAGCGCTCGTTTTTTGATCCAAAATTCAGTCGTATTTTGGACCCATTTCGAGGTGGTCCTCAGTTCCAAGGTTTCCGTAAGTTGTACAGCGACCCCTTTCGCTTGCTTGTTGTAGACCCCAAAGGAAACCAACTTGAAAATTTGATGGAAATTGGAGGGACAGAAGAACCAAGCTTTTCTGGTCTCCTCAGGTATGCCATATTCAGTGTATCACTTCCATACGCCGGATTCACGTTCAAATCTTTTACTGCTTTGTGCGTATTTATATTGAGTTTGAATATTTTTTTAGTTTCCAGTGATCTTTCTGAAGGGAAAACGTTCAACGAATAATTATACGAATCAGTCATAAAGCACGTAAGCTTTTTAATAATACTTGTAATAATGCCAATAACTTACCCGAGTTGGCGGCAAACGACATTTGCGTCTTTGATGTCCCAGGAATCGTCGCATACGGTTCCCCAAGTGCCGTTGCTCGAGCGAACTTCCACACGGCCTCTACGGGGATTGGATCCACCCGCAAGACGAACATTTAGAGCAGCTGGAATACACAAAAACAAAGTTTATGACTCAAATTAAATTACGTTGAAGTGGGTAATTGAATTGATGGAATTGATGTATGTACTTGAATTGGTCGTGTGTGAGCTTTACGAATATTTTGTAATCGACATGTAGATGTAATTCTTTGCTGGGGTTGAATTAAATTTTAAGTCGCACCACAAAGTGTAAGTGAATGACCAATTTTTTCGGTAAAAAAGTTCGATTTCGTTACACAAATGCCTTGATATCATGGTATTATAAGCCAGACCCGTTTCTTCGACGGAAGGAATTTTACAAGTCGAGGAGAATGACATATTCGTTGCTGGGAAATTTATTGAGAGTCTTCCTTGAAGAAGAAAGCAGTCAACGGTATCGCCCTGTTTCTCAAATAAACTCTTGTTCACGCGCTCTGTGATCATTGTAAACTCTGCTCCATGATTCGTTAGGCATAACGAGTATTAAAATTAATTGTGGTAGCGACCTCGGCGATCAATTTTATGAGAAATTTGCACCCACACTTGGACTCGCGATTTTCCCGCTTACATATTCTGGCATTATACTGTAACAAGCAAACCTCTCCCACACGCGAAGGATCTGTTTGTATTCGTTAGCTAGGGTGACAACAAGGCCTAGTGAAAATGAAACAAGAAATGATATTCACCAAAACTGGATGAGAATCAGACGACCAGGCAGAGAATAATAGGCGCGCAAACCGACCGCCGTCTATCCACTTCTGCTCCATAATTATGTTCAGTGTGGTGCCCAGTTCTTATCAGAGAGGGAAACAGTGATTACCTGCACACCGTGGCGTTTCCTTCTTAATCCATGTAATTAGCACTGTTACAGCGTACACAATGCCTTGGGTCAAGGAAGTTGGGCTTTTGTACGAAAAAGGCCCCGCAAGGCTGTTGCGCGAAATTAATTAGTACAGCTTCTCGAACTAGACAACAGCACGGTGAGTGTGAATAGACAATGGTGTATGCAGGACGGAGAGTCTGTTTGAAAAGAATACTCGCCAAGCACCAGATTTGAGTTGAAACCGTGATTAGTCGAATTGAAGGAACCAAATTAGCGTACATCGAACTGTTGGCAGCATAACAGAATTTCGTTTCCTTATACCAATCAAGCGGGAATGCAAAGCACTCAACCATGACTAGATATTCCCTGGTGGCATCACACATCACAAATGACGGTGTCAAGCATCTGTTTCAGGAGATCGTTTTTTCACACCATCAAGAATAATGAGCATGCCTTGCTGCGAGTGATTGGCCTTGGACTATCATCTTCTATTGGTATACAGCTTTGCCGTCAGGCGTCATCTGCAACTCCACGCAAAAAAGACGCTTGATATGCACTGATTCTCTTAGACTAATTTCCTCTGTTCAGGCATTCCTGTACGGTTAGTGCCATATGGAGTCGTCGTCCCTGTGTATTTTCGGCGCACCTTAGCGACACACCTGCTACGACGTTATCGAAATCATCATCTCCTTACACCTGGTACACCTGTAATTACGAGTACAACATGTTTATGTTTCGAATCCAACAAGATGTTGGTACGATGGAGGTCGGGACATTTTCTGGAGCTCCTGCGCATGCCTCGTTTATGTTTAGGGTCCACAGGGACCGGCCCTTGGACCATGTATTTTGATCAAGGAGCTGCCTAGATCGGGTGTTAAGCCCTCCGAACTCAGCCAATTGGACCTAAATGGGAAGGCCGACTGGTACACTTTCACGTTCATCTCGCAAGGAGTGCGCGATCGCCTCTTGACGTCTGAGGAGAAATTCCTATTTGCTGGTAAGAGTGTTAAATTTATAACGGGAGGCAAGTCAATTACTACTTTCCGGAGAGGTTCTTCGGCAGAAGGTCCAGGTCTTCGTCTGTGGATATACACACCACTTCGAGTACATCCATCCAGGATCTCTTCGTACGCGGTGTGGTTCGTAGGATGCGCCTGGATCTCGCCCTGGAGCTTCGTCTGCTCCCTACACGAACCCGTGTGGGACAAGATCGCCCTGCCTCCCCAGGTGATGCCCCCTGAAACGTCCTACCGGATGCAGTCGGAGTACTGTCGTCTCTCAGGAGCTTCAAAGCTGCATTGAACCGCACACTCCCTGATCCCCCATTATGTTAGTAGCAAGCTCAGGAGCTTCAAAGCTGCATTCAACCGCACAATCCCTGATCCCCCATTATGTTAGTAGCAAGAGGAGGGCGTTATGTATTCTTGATTATACCACCCTTTTATACAAACTCTCATTCAACTTCAACAGAGATTTCAAGTTTATATTTTCAATATAAACCTGAATATAAACCTGAAATCACAATATAAACCTGAATATAAACTTGAATATAAACGCCTTTTTTAGGGCCACAACACTGTCAGCAGCAGGATTAGGCAGCAGAATCGGATGTAGAGCGCTTTCTCTTTAGCTTTTTGCGAGCTTGCTTAGCACGGTCAGCATGAATGTTGAACACAATAGATGTGTTCTGAAATGTAGAAGCAGCAGCATTCAGATAGGGAGCCAAAGCAGATGAACTCACAGTAGAAGTACTATTCTGAACAGGGCTAGCCTGGACAGAAGTGGCTATGGATGAAGGTTGCAGTGGAAAATTCTCTTTGCAAGTGGCAGGCGGAACAGCTTTCACAGAGCCAAGATCAACAGCAACAGAGCAAGAATCTTTTGTGGTGGGGCGATCATAAGCAGATAAGGATTGAACATTACGATGGCCTGACACACTGCAAATTCGCCTATCATCAATGCCACTGCGCTTCATGTTGGTAATGCAAGTGGCACGTACACAATGATTAGTATAAGCCATGGAAAGATCAGCGAGCTCAGACAATCTCTTCATCATTCCTGCTAACAGATTGTGCGACAGCGGTGAGCGTGTGTACCAACATGACATATCAGCAGGAAGCTTACCAGGTTTCACAGCGCGCTGAAACAAGCGATCTTGGTCAGGGTGAAGCTTGTCAAGGTAACGCTTGATTGCTGTCAGCTGCGTTTGATCATTGATTACTCCTGCTGACGACCAGTCCGATCCTGTCAAGCCCCCTTGGTGATTCTTGGACATAAACGATGTTCCAAGCCTGAGCACGTCTTGTCCGTCGATAGATTCAAACACGAGGTCGCGTTTCGTTAGCTTTGACTGCATTTCACCACCTCTGAGGCAGAAGTGGAGAGTTAGCTGGTACCAAACGTAGAACGCCAGCTTGATCGCGTCGGTTGTTTCGACGACATCCTCGAAATATGTGCGCAGCTTTCCGAGATCGTCTTCAGACAGTGGTTCTTTGTGCTTTACAGCTGGTTCGTTGCCTGCGCGCTTGCGTGCCTTTAGTACACCATCCAATAGTTTGTTGGTCCTTGCAAAGGCTTCATCGCTGAATATGTTGATTTCTCGCATAGAAGACAGATGACGCTGTATAGCACTTCTTGCTGCCAGAAGACTGTTCTTTGAGAAAGGAGTTCCATGGCGCGTCTTCGCATCGACGTAGAAAGAGCCAACTAGGTCTGAAAGCTCCGGAATAGGGATTGAGGAGAAGTTCGTAGTCGAAGCTTTTTGATCTTTGCAGTAATCAGTGAAGAGCCGTACCCAATACTGGGTGGCTGAGTGTGTACTCTTTGGAACAGCGTCAGAGATGAGTTTTTGCTGGTCCTCCTTCGTTGACGCTCCGAAAACTCTTTTCTTGGGTGGATCTTCAGACTGATCTGGATCAATAGTGAAATCAATGTTACCACAACTGCCAAAATGGAGGAAGTGGCAGATATGGGGTGCCCAAGTTGCTTATAACTTCAAAAAGCGTGCCCAAATTTGCGCGCCTAAATTCACCATGGAAACAAGCAGTTGACCGTGTTCTCCAACGTCGTCACCTAAAGAATGTCACGAAAGTTCTCACTTTTTGGAGGAAGCTCTGCACTGGCTTAGTGACTAGATAAAGCGATACTGTTGACTCATGCATAACCGCTGTACAGTGCTAGTAGCCTAGTCTACTGTCTTCCACAAGTAATGAAGAATGGCTATCTCTTCGGTAGAAGACAAGGGTAATGATTAATGGCTGATACTGCTCACAAAAAAGTCGGTAGAGTTGAATGGAGGTTTGTATAAAGGCTGGTATAAATATACTACAACCTACTCTTAGGTTTATACGTGGAATATAAACTATCACACAAACCTCGGCTTCGCCTCGGTTTGTGTTCAGTTTATATTCCACGTATAAACCTAAGGTTAGTTTGTATTATATACTTACGTACTCTTTAGCAGTTAGTCTTAAGCCTTGAGAGAGCCGTATTTTTTAATTTTGTTTTGTTTTTAAAAAGGACCATATAATTTGACGGCACCAAGTAGCAACCCAGCAATGAGACATATTGAATGGCAGCAGTGGGTATTTGACGGGATACAGAACTGTCATTCGCTGGATTTGCTAGTGTTGATAGCGCTTCGCTCTTTCTGGAGATATCAACCATACACTGTTCTTTTTCATTATTATTGTCTCCGCGGTATTACTTATCAGTACACTCCTATAACCCAAGGATTTTTCCACCAAATCAGTCCATTTACATTGCTAATTTTTGTAACGTTTCAATGCAATGCCATATACATGTACAAGTGGATCTATGAGAATAATTTGTTACTACAGCTTACCGCATTCAACACCGGCATCTTCCGAATGAGCGCAATTGTGCACGCCCACTCGATTACCTTGACATCGGAACAAGTCTTTTTCTTCCCCAGTACATTCTAATTGGTCCAGTAATATAGGGCCTCGACCACCTCCGTAGCGCTGGATAGAGCTGGTTGCCTTTGCATACCTATTCAGATGAACGACGATTCGACACAAAACGGGTCTTGGAATTCACGTGTAGAGAGAATAACAACAGATGTTGCATTCTCAGTAGTCATAGCGCTAAACTCAGCCGCGGTATGGATTGAAGTAGAATGAAATTATATTTACATGTGCACATGTGGATGCTTGTGCCTACGGAGTAAATGGTTATAAGCGATCTAGGAGCGTTAAACATTCCTGAAGCGGCCTCAATTTCAGTCTGTTTTCGGTCCAATGCAGAACATAATTATCAATGATAAGTTTTGGATCACAAAAAGCTCATCGATCCTCGGTAACCATAACCTTCCCGAGTATGTGTTCAAACTGCATAATTTTCCACCTAGTAGTACGCATATTTCGCTCACATCGCAATGCACAGTGTAGGTGCGGAGGACTTTTCCCTAATGTATCACTCTGATCAAAGCCGATGTATTGCAATACTCTTTTGATTGACACTTTAGTAGTGTGAGTAGCTGTGACAAATCGTTTTCAGAGGGAGATTCCTGGAGCGATCAGGTGCACCAGCCTCAAAGACAGCATGCGAAATAATGCATAACGCCCGTCGCCCTTCGGCATCAATAGTGGTGCTCTCTGAAAGTATCCATCCGTGAACTTACATTAGAATAATAATAACCATTCGCATAAACAAATTACCTGGGGTCTCAGCCAGTGCACCATTAAAGGTGGTTGACTTGGAAATGGAGTCCAGGAAAAAATGATCTGGCGATTTCTAAATCTAGACAGACTAGCAGACTAGACGATACGCGCCTAAGTGCATCTCTTCCACATGCCTGGCTCAGGCTGCGTTTACACGATACCTAAACGGAACGATACCTAAACGGAACGAAATGGAAACGCACTTCAAAGTGTCTTGAAACGTTTTCAAAACGTTTTCATAACGTTTTCCTTCTCGTGTAAACGGTGAAAACAGTAAAAACGATTGGAAACGGAGCGCGGTCATGGAAACCATTCCGCGCGGGACTATATTTCGCGGGAAATACCTGACCTTTGCGACCACCAGCACGTAGCAACTCCAACTAACGTGTTACTTCCTGCTCTTGCGCCAAGCCAGCACGTGCTAACTTCAGCTTGATCGCCAGTTTTTCGTTTTCGTGTGAACGGTTCAAAACGATTTGCCGTTCTCGTGTAAACGGTTTGAAAACGATTCGAGGCCAGCCCGTTTTCGTTCTGTTTCGTTTCGTTTCATCGCCGTGTAAACGCGGCCTCAATCTGAAATCTTTTATTGCATTGCCTCTCCACCATCATTCCAATAGGACGCTAAAAGGATCAGTATTTCCTGTGCATTACCATCGTACTTGGAGTTGATAGGCGAACAATGGGGGCGCGACATCTGGTGATTTGGTTGAGACTATGCCATTAACTTACCCGAGTTGGCGGCAAACGACATTTGCTTCTCGGATGTCCCAGTAATCGTCGCACACGGTTCCCCATGTGCCGTTGCTCAAGCGAACCTCCACACGACCTCTGAGGGGATTGGATCCACCCGCAAGACGAACATTCACAGCTGAAACACACACAAAAGCAAACAATGTTTCCAACTCCAATTTATAAATTGCGTTGAAGTATGTCTGTGAATAGATTGTATTTGAGCTCGGAAAATATTTGTAATAGACATGTGCGTGGAGTGTTGCTGCTTGTGTTTAATTTCATTTATAACGAGGTCTGTCTCATCGTCCAGGGATGATCAATCATTACATTTCCCGCCAAGGGCCTTATTAGAGTTTAAAGCTCACTAAGTCGTAATTTTACTACTCTGTGATGACGCGTCGAAGGCCTTGGAGTAGTTTAAGGTAGCAGTCTACCCAGAATGGTACCTGCCGTAGGCTGTCCAGTATATCTCCAGAACGCATCTTTAGAATTGCTTCACATTTTCAACATAGCATCATCATTTTACTAGGCCGATGTCAGAAAACAAATACTGGGAATAAATAAAAAAGGGAGATAAGAGAAGGTTGTGAGAAAATGCGTTGCGCAAAACACGGACCATGAAGTTTATGCAGCATAACCTTAGTTTTTGCAACAGAAAGCATTCCAAACTTACTCTCTCAAGACCTCATGCATATGGCAATCCAATGAACCTTTCAAATCAAGAGAAGATAGAGCTACTGAGCAGCTAACAACAATCAAAATGTTACCACCCGGACGGTCATAAAAAACACAGATCGCTTCTTCTCAGCAGAAAGTCAATACGGTTTGCAAGAAATTCAGATACTGTAGGTTCATTGGATAGGTAGAAAAACGTAGATGCGAAAAAAACGTAACATTCAACACAATAGCATGAACCGTTCTTGACTTATGCTGCATCAAGTGAGCTCCGGACATCTAAAAAAGAGACAACATGTAGTAGTCAAAAGCACATCCCAAATTCTCCTGCTCCACAAGCACAACCTTCTTTCTCCATAGCAGCGTCAACAAATCACTTCTTCTTGGCCCTGCGCCTTTTTCTGGCTTTCTTCTCCTCCTCAGTGCTCTTTCTGATGCAATGGTACTGTTTCTTGCTCTCCAATTTTCCCAGAGCTGCTGAGGTGTACGCTGCGGGCTGCGCTGAAGCTGGGATATTGATCACAAACAGCTGTCCTGGTGGCTGGTAAACCATGTGTCAAATTCTTCCTGGCTGATCTTCTGTTTCTCAAGCTTTGACGACCGGTGAGAACAGGCAGGGCACGAATGCGACACCATCTCGACATCTATAATTTTGCCCATATCTAAGGCAATCACGCTTTGCATACCATACAGTGAGCTGTATCCGCACCGCATGCTGACAACGATGTCCTTTACATCCGTCCTGTATAGCGTCTTCTGCCGCTTTGGTCAGCTTTAGTCATTGCTGCCTCGAAAAGTGCATCACAGGGTCCAAAATACGACTTGCGAACCATGGGAGGATGCAGATCCAGAATGCCACACATCTTGATCAGTGCTTCAAAACTGCTGCCTATCACGCGCATGGCCAGTGCGCTGCGCTGGTCGATGTTGTACTTGAAGGAGAATTTTACGCAGTCATTCAATAATGGCCAAAGTGAGTTCTGATGTGAATGAGAAATGTTGACAAACTAATGAGCACACTGGTGCCATGCCGATTATGTCAACTTCCTTCAATTCAAGCTTGCTTTTTTTCATGAAGAACACATACACCGTACGTTTCCATGGCTTCTTGCAAAGCGCTCCAGCTGACAATTCGGCTGCCATTTGAACCAGGTGTACTACCGTCGTCATCATCCTCTTCCGATTCAGAGCTGTTTGAAGGCACGCCAGCAACACAGTCCTCACTTTCCCAGTCCAGCTGCAACCTCACTACCAAACGCCTCATTTGATTCTGCAAAGACATTCAGGGGATCACTTTCTACTGCATTTTCAAATTTTTCGTCTGTTCAAATGTTCAACTTTTGAATCTGATTTCCTTTGAATACTCGCTTAGCGCGGCGGGTCCTCGCTCCCGTTCCCCATACCCTCAACAAACAGCGACACAAGGTAGAGTCCACCTTAGACAGTTAGGTAACGAAGAATTGACAGTACAAACATGCAGTACATCGTCAAAAATGCGATATCGATAGTTGTTGACTGAAAATATATTTCGCAACGACAATTAATTTTATTGTCGCGGGCATATGACACGTACATACGGTACGAGCAGATCCACTTCGTTTTGCCGCTTCAGACCGCGTACTGCAGGAGTCGGGGAAACTATGACAACAGTTTAAGGCAAAACCAAACAAATTTCCCACAGTACTTTGTCCGTGACTCGCAGAATTATGTCTAAAATTATTGGAATGTAAATTTTGAAATGCTATTTTGGTATTCACAGCGCACTTCAATGCATAGTATCTTGCAACAGGCTGGCCCAATGAGCGTGAAACTTCACAGGCATCTATTTCAAACTGTTGGCTTTCATTTGAGCCACTGTTGAATGCAATAGGACGAACTTCGCATTTTTCGGATTTACAAACAAGTGCTTACAACTTCCTGTACTCATTATATCACGGTGCAGAAAATAAAATGTACGCTGTACGTCTAAAAGCTACGCATTTCAAAAGTGTTCCTCGCGAAAGTGTCAGGAGTGCTTCTCCTCACTGCTGCATTATGTTTTAGTCATTTCTTCACCTTCACACTGTGTTTGACCTGTTCTGCTGAATGAATTTTATTAGACACGTACAGCGTGAGGTTATCGATCTATGATTTTGCTATAGCTGTATAACTACCTCCACCAGCAACTACATTGCACTTCCTGATCATCACCTCATCGACTGTTGACAAGTATATTGCAAGACTGCCTCTGAACAAATCCCCCGGAGCTGATAGGATCACCAATGAGATTCTCAGGAAACTGAGCTACTCAATTGCCCGCCCACTCTCCATTCTTTTTAACCTTTCCCTCTCTACCGGCACATTCCCGTCACGATGGAAGTCAGCCACTGTCGTTCCAGTGTACAAAAATAAAGGCGACAAGAACAACCCGTGTAATTGCCGACCAATCTCCCTCCAGTCCTGCGTCTCCAAACTGCTAGAGAGAATAGTGTACGACCGCTTGTACGACCATATCTCCCCTCTTCTTCACCCCGCACAATCTGGCTTCCGTTGTAAGGACAACACATCCCTGCAATTGTCCCGCATAATCCAAGACCTCTGCTCCCTAAAAGACCAGCGGCAGGTCTCCTGCATCTGTTTCTTCGACCGCTCCAAGGCATTCGACACCGTGTGGCACAAGGGCCTGATCGCCAAACTTCGTGCCCATGGTGTCTCCGGCTCCCTACTCGCCTGGATAAGTAGCTACCTCTTGGACCGAAATCAGTGCGTCACAGTAAATGGAACCTTATCTGACCCCGAGTCTGTGACATCCGGAGTGCCCCAGGCCTCCATTTTAGGTCCCCTGCTCTTCTCACATACATTAATGACCTCCCCTATTTAATTCCCAATATTTCTTTGTTTGCAGATGATACGACTGTCCTTGCTTCCTCCCCATCTCAGGCCACCCTGTACCCCAAAGTTCAGACATGTATCAACGACGTTGTTCACTGGATGAGCACTTGGTACCTTAAGCCAAATGTGACCAAAACCGAGCTCCTCCTTTTTCCCCCTCCTACAGATCCAGTGCCCATCTTCCACTTTCCCCATGATCCCGGTCACCCTATCTTTGTAGCGCCCCACCATAAACACCTTGGCATTGTCATAGATTCCGCCCTCTCCTGGTGTCACCATGCTGATCATGTGTCGTCCAAAGTATGCCGATCTGTCGGCATAATGTCAAGTCACTTGTCCCATTTGCCCCAAAATTGCCGGACTAATTTTTATAAATCATACATTCTTTCCCTCTTCACGTACGGCTTCCCTGCCTGGTCCACCATTAACAAAACCCACATAGGTAAATTAGAAGTTCTCCATCGCCGTATACTGCGCATCATATTTCGTACTGATCGTTATATCTCAAATCTAGACTTGTATGCTGCATCCACTACTACTCTTCAACATTACCTTGATGCTTCCAAGTGCACCCTGGCACATTCATTTTTTCTTGACCAGCACCCTGCTCATTTAAAGTCCCTTAATTGGTTCATTTCAGGTGGCACCACCCGAAACTGCGTTTCTTCTCCCCCTAGCTAGGTCTACTCTATTCGTAAATTCTCCTTTCTTTTCCTCCTTCTCCGCGTGGCTCCAACTGCCTCCCAGTGTTAGACAAGCTCCAGATATGCCCAAATTCCGTACCCTCGTCAGACAGCACTTCAGTATCTCCCAGTAAACAAAGTCACAGTCCCCACTTCCGCTGCATAGCTCGCTGAGCATCCCATTGCTTTGTAAGTTGCTAATCCCTTCCCACTTTGTGTACGTGCTCTTCATTTTCTTTTTTCTCTTCTTCCGGTGTTGGTCTCACCCTCTCCTCAATTCAATTGGCTGTCTTGACATGCCACGAGGTGCAGAAATAAATAAATAAATAAATAAAATAAATTGCTTTATTTTGACATTTTTCCATTATTCCCTGTACTTACCCAGGATGAGACGAGAACGAAAACGTTCGGTTGCCAAATTGGCTTACTTGACTTTGTGGATTGCGTCTGTGCTGACACCTTTTCTTTCGAAATTGGATACGCGTCCAATTTTTTCCTTAAATTTCAGAAGTATTTGGGCTTTTTCTTAATCCGGTACGCATCATTTCGGGTCGTGAAGTTTTGGGAGATGAGGGGACTGCCAAAGGGACGTGATGTACCGAAAAGTAAAACGGATAGCTTACAGTACGTTTTTTATATAATAGACTCTGAAATCCTTGAGAACGTACTCAAGGCCACTGTTGAGAAAATGTCATGCAAGTTGCGTCACGAAAATCTGCGCGCGAAATTCGAGAACCAGGTGTGACTCGTGGCATTTCGCCGTTTCGTTCAGAGTGTCCTTCGAGCTCCTCGTGGCTGGAGGAATTTTTTAATATTATATATATTTGAGGATTTCCCAAAGACGTAGTCTAAATTGAAGGGAGTTCCATTATAATGGGAGGCTGTAGGGTTGAGATAGCAGACAGTG